TTATCAATATGTATGTTCCTATGACCATTTTCTTAATTGTTTTGGGTTTGTTTTTGTAGGTCCTTTCCTTCTCTTGTGTTTCCCACTTAGAGAAGTTCCTTTAACATTTGTTGTAGAGCTGGTTTGGTGGTCCTGAATTCTCTTAGCTTTTGCTTGTCTGTAAAGCTTTTGATTTCTCCATCAAATCTGAATGAGATCCTTGCTGGGTAGAGTAATCTTGGTTGTAGGTCCTTCCCTTTCATCACTTTAAGTATATTGTGCCACTCCCTTCTGGCTTGTAGAGTTTCTGCTGAGAAATCAGCTGTTAACCTTATGTGAGTTCCCTTGTATGTTGTCGTTTTTCCCTTGCTGCTTTCAATAATTTTTCTTTGTCTTTAATTTTTGCCAATTTGATTACTGTGTGTCTCGGTGTGTTTCTCCTTGGGTTTATCCTGTATGGGACTCTCTGCACTTCCTGGACTTGGGTGGCTATTTCCTTTCCCATGTTAGGGAAGTTTTCGACTATAATCTCTTCAAATATTTTCTCTGGTCCTTTCTCTCTCTCTTCTCCTTCTGGGACCCCTATAATGTGAATGTTGTTGCGTTTAATGCTATCCCAGAGGTCTCTTATGCTGCCTTCATTTCTTTTCATTCTTTATTGTGTTCCGCAGCAGTGAATTCCATCATTCTGTCTTCCAGGTTACTTATCTGTTTTTCTGCCTCAGTTATTCTGCTATTGATTCCTTCTAGTGTAGTTTTCATTTCAGTTATTGTATTGTTCATCTGTTTGTTTGTTCTTTAATTCTTCTAGGTCTTTGTTAAACATTTCTTGCATCTTCTTGATCTTTGCCTCCATGCTTTTTCCGAGGTCCTGGATCATCTTCACTATCATTATTCTGAATTCTTTTCCTGGAAGGTTGCCTATCTCCACTTCATTAGTTGTTTTTCTGGGGTTTTATCTTGTTCCTTCATCTGGTACATAGCCCTCTGCCTTTTCATCTCGTCTATCTTTCTGTGAATGTGGTTTTTGTTCCACAGGCTGAAGGACTGTAGTTCTTCTTGCTTCTCGAGGGCAACCTTTTTATAATAAAGGACCAGGACTTCCCTGGCAGTCCAGTGGTTTGGAATTCACGCTTCCACTGCAGGGTGTGTGGGTTCAATCCCTGGTCAGGGAACTAGGGTCCCCCATGCTGTGCGGTGCAGCCTTTTCCCTTAGTGACATCACGTCCCGGCAGGTCCTGAGGAGACCAGGCTCCTGTTAGAGAGAAATGGACCCCATGATGTCCCAAAGCTGAAGCCCCAGCGGGTCCTGAGGAGACCCGGCTTCCGTTAGTGTGGACTCGACCCCAAGTTGTCCCGAAGCCCAGCCATCAGCATGGACGTAGTCCTACGTGTTCCAGAAGCCAAAGCCCCAGCGGGTCCTGAGGAGACGGGGCTTCCGTCAGCTGCGCCCGGAGACAATTCCGCAGCTATGAGTTCTTTATATTAGGATACTAACCATTTGTTTTATATGTTTAAATATTTTTCCCAGTCCATTGTCTTTCAAGTTTGTTTACAGTGAGGTTTATTTTGCTATACAAATGTTTGAATTCATAACCTCCTTTTCTTGTATGGTTTTGATGCACTAAGAAGTAAGAAGGACCTTCTTAGTATATATGATAAAATAACTTCCCTACATTCTCTTCAAATACTTTTATTATTTTATGAGTCTTTGATTAGTTTTTTTTTATATTAAAAAAAATAAAATCTGTTACTTTTTTTTAGTCTGTAGAGGGAAGTATGAATGGAAATTTATTTCATATCTTAGCTAGCGGTCACAGTGCCAATCATTATATTAAACTTATCCTTTCCTTTGTGTTCTGGAACTTCTTTTACATAGATACTAGATCTCCTACTTCTTTCCCCATCTGTTTTAATTTTTTCCTCCATAAATTCCACCAAATTATCTTTATCCCCTTCTTTTGAGCTGCTGACTCTCTTTATAAATCCAATGATTTTTTTTTTTTTTTTTTTTTGCTACTCCACTTGTGGGATCTCAGTTCCCTGACCAGGGATGGAACCCATGGCCCCTGCAGTAGGAGTGCAGAGTCCTAACCACTGGGATGCCAGGGAAGTCCCTCCACTGATTTTTGCTCCCTGAAGCCTACTCACATTTACAAAATGTGCTCTACAAATGTGCTCTGTTCAAAATTAGTGACAAGTGGAGGCCCAGCTGACAACTGTTTCTATCAGCTCTCTTTCCTTTCCTCCCCAGCTTAGCAGGGCAAGTGGTTCTGAGGTGGGAGATTGATTCTTCACTCTCTGCAGTTTACTGCCACTGTCTCCCCCCTGCCCCAACGATCCTCTTTCAGCACAGGAGATGGCTTTTCCCACCTGCCTCGGTACACTTAGGCACTACTATGGGATTCTTCTGGTTCTGTGGAAATCATCCCTGCTTCAGCATTACTCATGTTAACTTTTCAGAATGCCGTGGAGGTTTTGGAAGGATGGGAGAGCACACATCCATAAGCATAAGCAACTACACACACGCCTGTTTGGTGTGATGAGAGGACTGCCTCCTGGAAACAGGGGTGCTAACTAAATTAAGTTTAGTCTCATCTGCTAGGCAATTTTCTCTTTTTCAATCCCCTGATAACAAAGTTCTGCCAGCCAGGTTCCTCCATGTACCATTCACACAATTCTCAGTCAAGCTTCCCAGGCTGTGGTGAAGTTTCATAGGGTAAAACTATTTCTGCTATATTACTAATTGTCTGATCTTTAGGCTACTTATTTGAGAAAAGCTTCAGTATTCCATAAAATATGCATTACCATCCAGTAGAATGCTTTTCCTTGATGTACTTTTGTGGCATTATCAACATTAGCATTGGTATACCTGTAGTCATCATTATAAATTGAAATGGTTCAATAAAACATTAAAGAATAATAGAAAAAAAAATAGATATAGTTAAACACGTTGGAAAGGGTCATTTAACTGAGGAAAGCTTAGCTTGGTAACTTTGAGCTCACCAGCTGAGAGTAAAGGAAATGACTTCTTACTCTAATAGATGACGGACCTGGAGAAAAATATATAACTGCACTGTTTGGTATTATAGTGAATTCATATGATGATATATTTAATATAAAACTATTTTTGGTAGTTTTATACACAGAACTATAATGAGTCATTACTGCATAAGGCTGCTTTAACTGAGACATACATGTATAAGGAAGAATTGCTTTAGCCATCTAAATTCAAGTAATATTTCAAATTATATGTTTTCTAATTATTGTTTCATAACTTTTAAGTTAGTAATGTCAAATTCTTAGGTAAACTGTTGATGGATTTTTCATAAAATATGATCAAGGAACTTGAGGAGCAGAAGTTATTCAATATTTTTATCAGATCAAGACCAAACATTTTTAGATACTCTTTTCATACGACAATTTTGATAGTTTTTAATTTGTTCTTTGTTTTCATGAATTTTCAGTCACAAATCCCGCCAAATTTTATTGTAAGTTTATGGGTCTTCATTTTATTTTCTACTGAACATTTAAATAATGTAACATCCAGCACCCATTTACTCATTCTTTGTTTCCCCCCTCTTAGAAATCAGTGTGTCACTTCCACTCACATCTTACTAGCTAAAGCAAGTCACATGGTCACCCCTAATTTCAAGGGGGCGAGCAGTGTAATTCTTCCCTTCCTGTCCAGGAAAGGGAAAAAAACTGGAAATATTGTTGAACTCTAGTAATGCTACCATGTTACCTGAGAGGGAAAATGACTTTTTTCATTATAAAAGCTACCAGATTGCTCAAAAAACATTCCTTTAAAAGTGACAAATTTTTAAAGAAGAATCAATCACTTATTTCCCACCTCTGTGAAATATCAGCTATATACAGGTTTCTGGGTTCTCCTCTCCTTATGCCTTTTTAATTTTTTCATCATTGTAATCATACTCTAAATACTGTTCTTTGTACTGACCATCATGTCTTATCCATTTTTTATATTGCTGTAGAATCATTATAAGTTTTGATTCTGGTGGAATCAAATGAAATTTTTCAATTAAATATGTTCTAAGAATATCTAATAATCCTTATTCTGATTTCAAATTTGTATTCAATTTAATTCTTAACCCTCACCTGTGTTTAAAGAAAACAAACCAATAAACCAGTACACTTCATATCTTAAGTACTTGTAGGAAAACCTGGTCCTTCCTAAAATGCAGATTGTCCATGGCCAAACAAAAAGCTGCTCAGTTCTGAGAAAGTATTACTAAATTCTAAAGGGACAATTTATTCTACCTTAATAAGTAAGTAGCTTGAAAATCCTTGAAATAGAAAGAAAAAAAGAACAGAAACCAACTAATAGAATATGATTATTAAATTGCTCAACTAACATATCTAAAGATGTCCAATTTTTTTAAAAGATGTCAAATTTTAAGAGAGTATAACAGTTTAAAAAATATCAGTTTTTACTTCATATAATTCTTTCTTACAAAACCAAAAGCTGAGGAAGTAAGAGTAATGTAAGATAATCCTTCAGTTTGTGAAAGTATTTATCACAAGTTCCCTAAGTGAGTTTGAAATATAATAAATACGCACAAATTAAATTGCTTCAAAGCTTTTCAGGAGTGAACCTAAAATAAAAATTAGCAATTCCTGTCCTCAACTTTAGGATGTGGCAGCAACAGGCTCAACTATGAATAGTGACTATGAATCGAAGGCAAGAAAAACACACACACACAAAACTGAGCCATTGGCAAGAAAGTAGCTTTCAGTTTCTAGTTGTTTAGGAAAAAATCTTGAGAATGCATCAAGGGAATCTATAACACCTGTTACATGAAGAAAAAATGTACATTTAAAGTGTCTTAGGGAATTCCCTGGCAGTCCAGTGGTTAGGACTCCATGCTTCCACTGCAGGGGGCACAGGTTCGATCTCTGGTTGGGGAACTAAGATCCCACATGCTGCACGGCACAGCCAAAAAAATTAAAATAAAAATAAATGCAATTAAATTCTTAATTAAAAAAAATAAGTGTCCTACCGTTTGTCCTTCAATACCACCTTGTTCATCAACTTTTGTTTCTTCCTCATGAACTGAGTTAGACTCATTTTCTTGTTCTTTATACTCTTTTTGGAGATCTTTGCTGACTGCTGCTTCTACACTCTTAACTTCGTCTTTGCCAAAGTAAGTTACCGTGGAAGTGTGTTCTTGTGATGCTGTTGGAACAAGGCCTAATGGCGTGACATGATCATAGCGAGTATGTAGGAGTCGTAGAGCAATGTCAGATGTTGCTAATATCCTTGGAATTTCAAATCCAATTTGTGTCTCAGAGAATCTGATACTTCTGTACCTGTTAATTAATTTAACGAAAAGGATGAGGCTCTAGAAAATTCTATGTCTGTTGTAAGCTTATACCTAAGCAGTATTTCTCTCCACTTTAATTTCACCACAGTTTTGAGTCCTGACCCATACTTGCTTTCTTTGCAGCATTTGGATCCAGTTGCTGATGTTACCTTCTCAAAACTCTCCTTTGGGATCCATGACTCTATACTCTTCTCCTCCATCTCTGGCAGCTCCTTCTCTGTTTCCTTTGTATGGTCTCCTTCCTAAGTATCCCTTAAACGTTGATGTTACTTGACTCTCCATCCTGAGCCCTTCTTTCTTCTCCCTCTACATACTCTCTCTGGATATTATTATTTCTATGACTTCAATTATTATTTATATTATCAGGAGTGTTTAACATGAGTTCTATGTTTCCTAGGGGAAGAAGCATCCCTGAATGAACTTTAAAAGGTCCAAAAATGCCCTTACATATGTGTGAGCATATGTAATAAAGTTCATAAGAGTCTATGACTCCCCAAAAGTTAAGAACTATCAATCTGTATGACTCTGCAAAATATGTCTCCAACTCAGATTTCTCTCAATGCTTTCAGACAGTTGCACTTTGATGTGTCATAGGTACTTCAAACTCAACAAGTCCGACACTGAGCTCATCATACTGACCACCCCCTGCTCTCTCACCATCACCATCAAAGTAAAACAAAACTTGTTCTGCTTCCACTATTCCTTATCCTAGTAAAAGATACCATCTAATTCTCTTCTTAAGCCTGGGTAGTTAATACAGGGATATTCATTTTACTTTTCTTCTTTTAAAATTATACAGATTAATTTTCTTCATCCTTCTGGATCTAACATATTTTACAATGAAAAAGGTTATATTAATATATTGACTCTGATTTAAACCACAAAGTATTTTGTAGCAAATGTAACTTGGAAAATACTTTGTTCCTTACTTTTACTAAATATCAGAAATAAAACCCAATACTTTCCACTGTCATAGGACTAGTCTTTTCAGAGTTGGGACCAGAACCTAGGCCTCCTAACTTTTATTCAGATCATTTTTTCCTAAAACTTGCTGCCATACTAACTCAATTATTTTGAAATGTTTGAGATAAAGCAGCAACCAAGTGATCGTGAATTTATCATTATCTCTATCATTCCTCAGAATGATATTACTTTGTTGAAAATAATCAGGGAAACATCACTTAAATTATCTAAAAAATAATAAATATGAAAAGTATTCTTTTTTGAAAGCATTAACAGTTCACAAAAGATAAATTTTTTAAAAGTTTCAGATTGCCATGTAGAGAGCACCTACCACTTCTACTTTTTGGTGGGGAGGGAGGTTAAGTGGGTGAAAAGAAGAGGAAGACCCTGATATTTAGTCAGTGTATATTTGTGCTAGACACCACACTATATATGACCTTTACACGTGTTAACATTTAATCCTCAGCCCAATCCTATTAAGTTAAGTGATATAATCATTTTACTGTTGATATACTGAGGCATAACAAGGCTAACTAACTTGCTTAAGATAAATGGCAGGTCTCTGAGTCAAACCCCAGGTGGCTGACTTTCTAACATGGGTTTTTACAAGTATGCCATGCTGTAATGCAACAGGCATCTGCTTGGTCATGTGACTATATAATGTCTTCAGACCTATAGTATCACCCATGGGAATACCTTGGATTCTTCTTGAGGTTTGCCCATACATATAAAGTAACATTTTCATCTCGAATGACTTTTTCCATGTTTCCACTGTCCAGATCTGCTAAAGTACTAGCTTGCTGTAAGAGAAAAAGAAAACATTATTAAGATTAGAGGCCTCATAAATTACGCAATTTAGATAAGTTACTTCATCACTTAGGTGTTGGATTCCCTTCAATATTAAAAGAGTAATTTGGGGACTTCCCTGGTGGCGCAGTGGTTAAGAATCCGCCTGCCAATGCAGGGGACACAGGTTTGATCCCTGTTCTGGGAAGATCCCACATGCCGAAGAGCAACTAAGCCTGTGCGCCACAACTACTGAGCCTGCATTCTACAGCTCGCGAGCCACACCTACTGAAGCCCGCGTGCCTAGAGCCGGTGCTCCTCAACAAGAGAAGCCACCGCAATGAGAAGCCTGGCGCACTGCAACAAAGAGTAGCCCCCACTCGCCGCAACTAGAGAAAGTCCACGCACAGCAACAGAGACCCAACGCAGCCAAAAAGTAAATAATAATTAAGAAAGAAACCTTGAAAAAAATAAAAAGAAAAGAGAAATTTGGGTAAAAATAAGGTTCAATCAAAATAACAAAGAATTGTTTTTAAAAATTCTCTAAACAACAAAAACATATTTACTCAATTAAATGTGCTCCCCATTTACTACTCAGTTTCTCTTACGGTGTCTAAGGATTGAAGTTGCTCCTGTATTCCCAGGTAGCACTTGTGGATTACTCTTAGGTTACCCTTTTCAATTTTAACATTATTTGTGACTTTTCATTTTAACTATATACATGCTTCTTTATCCTTACCTTATTAAAATGTAGATTATGCTACTGCAAAAGTTAGCCTATTTCTGAACATACCAAGTTTAGAAAACAAAATATCCAGATGAGTTTTGTGTTTTACTAGTCCAATACTTGATAATCAACATTAAACACACAATTTAAGGATGTTCTTAAGAATTCTTTTATAAAGACTAACATAGCTTGATGCCTATTGCTTAAGATATTAGCTCTTTCAAAGGGCTTAAATAAGTCAATATGTATTTGGTTCCTATAATGTAAAAATTTAAATGTACTGGGAGGTGAATTTATTGCTTTTTTTTTTTTTAAGTGATTGTTCTGGGAATTCCCTGGTGGTCCAGTGGTTAGGACTCTATACTTCCATTTCACGAGGCACAGGTTCGATCCCTGGTGGGGGAACTAAGATCCTGCAAGCTGTGCCAGTGTGGCCAAAAAAGAAAAGAAAAAAAAAAAAAGAAATAAAAGTGATTGTTCTCCCACACTTTTTTTTTTCTATGACATTAACTTTTTGAAATGCCCAGGATAATTGCCTTGAAGAACTGTTCCACATTGTGAATTTATCTAGCTGTTTCCTCATGGTTTAACTTGCTCCTCTATTCCCTTTATTTTTTGTACACTGGAAGTTAGGTCTAGGTAGGTTTAATCAGATTAGATGAACAATTTTCGGCAAGAAGGCACAATAGGTAATGTTGTGTTCCTCACATTGCATACTATCAGGAGGCATATGATGTCCTACTGTTAACAATGTGGACTTGATCACTTAGTTAACGTGGTGACTACCCCTATCTCCCCTTGCGAAGTACATTTATCCTAGTCAGTAAGTAATCTGTGGTCTAATACTTTGGCACTATGAGAATAATGTGTTCCTAAACTTTTCGCCTACGTATTGAGGTAGCCATTGATGATCCTTATCAATTATTACATTGGGGATTGAAAAATGGTTATTATCTTACTGATCATTCCTTCCACATTCATCAGGTGGTATTCTTCGGTAAAGAACTGTTCTCTCTACCCGCCACTCCACTTTCCCCTTTCCATTTTGGAATATCACTATAGACTCATTAATTTTTATTTTATTCAAGGTTCTATAATCCAGAGGTCCCCAACCTTGTTAGCACCAGGGACCGGTTTTGTGGAAGACAATTTCTCCACAGACTGGGGTGGTGCGGGGGAATGGTTCAGGCAGTAGTGTGAGCGATGGGAAGCAATGGGGAGTGGCAGACGAAGCTTCACTCGCTCACACACCACTTACCTCCTGCTGTGCAGCCCCATTCCTAACAGGCCACGGACCAGTACCAGTCCTCGACCCGGGGGTTGGGGATGCCTGCTATAATCAATTATAGTCATTATTCTTTCTGATATTCAAATTATCCCCAACTTGATCAGTGGGAGCTTCTTTAAGCTAGTTCTGTCTCTTTGGCTACAACTCCATTAGTCTTTGAGTATTTACTTGTTTTCTAGCACAAGATAACTGAAACTCATCTTTCAATAACAACCTTATCTTTCACTTTCCCTGCCCCAAACTCGAATCAGCCATTTACCACAATTAGACCTGGTTCCTTTTTATGGAATAAAAAGAAATCTGTTTCATACTGATACTTCCACTACAAATTTAACATTACTGTATTTTTTTCTAATCTTCTTTTCTTCTATATATATTTTTTCTCTTAGAATAAAAATCTTGATTACTAATAATTATAATACATTTCCTTATTGGCTTTTTCTTACAATATAGATAAAATAGCTGCAAAATTATAATATGAATATTACTTCCAAGAATAAACTTAACAATAAGCCTTCTTTACAGTTCTTTTTATAATTAGAACATATTCTACCAAGCCTATAAAGGTGATTGTGTTCTAGACCAAAAGAAACCAAGAGAGAAAATAGCCAAAAGCAAGGTGTGACCTTACATTGTTTTCTCATTTAGAAAACAAAACAAAACAAAAACAGCTATAGAAGATATTCATGGAATATTAGGGAAAATACAAATATGGACTGGATATTGGAATACATTATGGAATTATTATTAATTTTCTTAGGTATAACAATGGCTCTATGATTATTTGAATATTATCATTAGTGCTAAGATATTTGGGAAAAATAGAGTGACTACCAGTAATTGTAATCTTGTGTCAACTGATTTATCTAGAGTGTACAGAAAATAAAATATTCACAGTTGCTAAATCTGGATAAATACATGTGCCTTAAATTGTTCTACTGACTTTTCCATTACCTTTTAAGTCTTCAAAAAAATAAAGGACACTGGACTTTAAAAATTATATAATATAAAATCTTAACTCTTAAAAAAGTCAATAATAACATATAAAGCAAAATATCACACTTACTCTGAGAAGTATTTCTGTGGCTATGTTAAACTTAAGATGAAGGAGCTCTTGCAGTTCTAGAATTGATCCTTGGTACTGTATTATATTTTTCTCTTGCAAATCATATGATGGAGTTTCCAATAAAATTAACTTCAATTTCTCAATTAACTATAAGTAAAAGTATAAGTAAAAATATAAAGTAAAAATTTACGATGAAAGTAATCTGACACACAAAGAAAAAGTGAAATGGGGGATGTTTTATCACTTTTGAATTGAGGAACACATCACTAGTAAAACATATAAAAATACTTTCCTATATTTATTCTATTATTTAAGATCCTGGAAAAATAAAATATTTCCTCCTAAAACTCCACTATAAGAATTCTAGGGCTTCCCTGGTGGCGCAGTGGTTGAGAGTCCCCCTGCCCATGCAGGGGACACGGGTTCGTGCCCCGGTCCGGGAAGATCCCACATGCCACGGAGCGGCTGGGCCTGTGAGCCATGGCCACTGAGCCTGCATGTCCGGAGCCTGTGCTCCACAACGGAAGAGGCCACAACAGTGAGAGGCCTGCGTACCACAAAAAAAAAAAAAAAAAAAAAGAATTCTATACTATGTGTAACAGAGCTGTCATTAGCGAGCTGACAGAGGAGGCACAGCTTGTTACTACTTAAGACTGTGGAACAATAGAAACAATATGATGAGGAGGAGGAGAGTGAGGAGAAAGAGGAAGAGGAGGAGAATTACTAACATTTACTGAATGCTTACTATTTGCCAGGAACTGTTCTAAATGCTTTAAATGTTTTAATCCATTTCATCCTCATCATAACTCTGTAAGGTAGGTACTGTTTATTGTGCCTATATTATAGACGAGGAAACTGAGGCAACCTGGTTCCACCAGTAAGGAGCTTGGAAGACGCCACTCAATCCTAACAAGTGAAAAGCTGAACAGGCTGAAAGACCAACCACTATTCTTTGATCCATAAAAGAGGGGAGGACACAGAGCAAACCCCTGTCCCCAAGATTGGAGAGACCTACAGGTGAATACAGGGAGTCGGTTTATCAGAGCAGAGTGTCAGGAGCAAAGACCACTGCAGGAACCAGTGCCAGGTCTGTAAACCCGAACTGTAAACGATGAATTGCTGGGAACTCAGGGTGGACAACTCTGAGAGTTAAAAACTCCCGGGGTGGGGGTCTTCCCTGGTGGTGCAGTGGTCAAGAATCTGCCTGCCAATGCACAGGACACAGGTTCGAGCCCTGGTCCGGAAAGATCCCACATGCCACAGAGCAACTAAGTCCGTGTGCCACAACTACTGAGCCTGTGTGCCACAACTACTGAGCCTGCATTCCACAACTGCTGAAGCCCATATGCCTAGAGCTCTGCAACAAGAGAAGCCACCGCAATGAGAAGCCCGCGCACCACAATGAAGAGTAGGCCCTGCTTGGTGCAACTAGAGAAATCCCATGCACAGCAACAAAGACCCAACACAGCCAAAAAAAAATTAAAAAAAAAAAAAAAAATCCTCCCAGAGGATGAAGTCATGGGAGGGTGAGAGCCCATAGTATTGTGAGACTTACCTGCAGGAGCTCAACCAGGTCCCCACAATAAATATGGGGGAAAGAAATTCCCTCCTGCTGCTGGCAGGAGGAGGGAGAAAGGAAGCATTTTGAAATACGACAGAGCACTCTGTTCTTAACAAGGCTTGATCTCAGGGGAAATTAATTAACTAGAGCCTAACCTGCTGGAATTTTATCAGAGCCTAACTCACCTGGGGGAAAGGAAATACCCAACTCCAGCTGGCTCTAGCCATTCCCTCTCACCTAAGAGGGGATAAGAAAAATTAAAAACGCTTGTGAAGTTCACCATCCAGAGGCATAGGCTTACTTAAAGACTGAGACCTAATCACAGGACTACAGAACTCTTCCCCTCTCCCAACCGGCCTCACCACCATATTACTAAAGGCTTATTTACAGCAGTTCTTTTTACCCAGTACATCATGTCTGGCTATCAAGAAAAAATTACAAGGCATACCAAAAGGTAAAAACCACAATTTGAAGAGACAGAGCAAACATCAGAACCAGACATGGCAGGATATTATAATGATCAAACCAGGAATTTAAAACACCTGTTTTTAATATGCTAAGGGCTCTAATGGATAAAGTATTCAGCATGCAAGAATAGATGGGTGATGTAAAGCAGAGAGATGGAAATCCTAAGAAAGAACCAAAAAGAAATGCTAGAGATTGTAAACACTGCAACAGAAATGAAGAATGCCTTTGAAAGACTTACTCCTTAACTGGACACAGCTGAGGAAGGAATCTCTGAGCAAGAGGATTTATCAACAGAATCCTCAAAAGACCAAAAAGCAAAGAGAACAAGGACTTAAAAAAACAGAACAGAATATCCAAGGACCTTGGGACAACTACAAAAAAAAGGAAGCACACACATAATGGAAATACCAGAAGGAAAAGAAAGAGAAAGGAACAGAAGAAATATTTGAAATAATAATGACTGAGAATTTCCCCCAAACTAATGTCAGACACCAAACCACAGATCCAGGAAGCTCAGAGAACACCAAGCAAGATAAATGCCAAAAAACCCCTATTTAAGCATACCATTTTCAAAATACAGAAAATCAAAGATAAAGAAAAACTGACAGCAGCTAAAGGGAAAAAAACACCTTACCTTTAGAGGAACAAAGTTAAGAATTATACCCAACTTCTCAGAAATCACACAAACAGGGAGAAAGTGGAGAGACATTTAGAGTGTTGGGAGAAATTAATGTACAGCATGATCAAGGAACAACTAATAGCAAAATTTAATTTTGAACACTGACATAGATAACATACAGAAAATTTCTAAATTAAGAGAGATAGCTGAGTAGTATGGGCTCAAGCCAGAAAGCTGGGCTTCCATCCTTGCCACCTCTTACCAGTGGTGTGATTTGGGGCAAGTTATTTAACATCTCTGTGCCTCGCCTTCTTTGTTTGTAAAATGGGGATAACGGTGCATACCTCACAGGGTTATTGGGGGGAATTCAGCAACAACATGAATAAACTGAACCAGGCTGAGAAAGCCTGGCATAGTAAATATTATATAAGAGTTTGTCAAATAAATAAATTTGATAATTTGGAACTTGGTGTTTACCATGCGATCACTGCTATCCAATTCTTTCTGTTCGTCTTGTGGCTTCCTGCTTTAGTTTCCTATTATTATTGATTACTCTACTCATCTATCTCCTGTTTTGTTTCACTTATCCTTTTCTCATCTTCCCTACTATTCATTACTTCTGCTTCTGTATCCCACATTCATAACAGGAAGATGTCACATCCAGCTCATCACTGGTGAACTTTAGTACTACTTCCTGCTGCCTTCCTGCTATTCAAAGCGCAGCAGATTCCTGGACCAGCATCACGCTATGGCAGCCTCCCTGGGAGAGAGAATATGCAATGGCAAGAATACTGTATGATGAATCCATTAGCATCCAAATACTTCATGGGAGGCTCTTTGGAGTCTTTGGAAAGTCACAGTAATGCCCATCTAAGGTCTCATAGGGGACCGTAAGCAAGTCACAACCCGTTTCTTCATATGTAAAATGAATCTCATAAGCTTGTTTTCCAGATTAAATTAGGCGAGCAAGTTATGACCTTAACAGTCTGGAGTTATTCCATTTTATAGCAACATGGAGAAGAAGTAAACCACAGTGACAAGAAGCACAACATGGCAGAAATAGAAACAAAAAGCATTAAAGGATAAAAGGACCAAGAGGAGTGAATTCCTTCTAGTTTCTAATATTACGTAGGTGTGTCTAAGTGTGGATTCCTTTCTTTGTATCCTAACTTGGGATTTGTTGGGTTTCTGAGGATTCTGGAAAATCGTCAGCCACTATCTCTTTGAATATTGTCTCTCCCTCCTTCTTCTATATCTCCCTGTCTCCTTCTGGTACTCCTTGTCAATATACATTTAGTCCTTTTTGCTCCATCATACATGTCTGTTAATTACTCTTTGATATTTTTCATCTCTGTATCTCTCTGTGCTGTATTCTGATAAATTCTTCAATCTAACTCCTGACTCACTCACTATTAAGAATTCTCAGTAGAGACATTTTTGTTTTCCCTTCATTAAGCTAAACGTGAGCTAATCAAGCTCTAATCATCTCCCTTTGCAAAGCAGGTTTTCCCCTATTTATCTACATTACCTTTTTGAGGCTCCCAGCCATAAAAGCATCTCTGATCCAACTTGCTACCTTCCTTGTACCCTAGGCTTTGCCTCCTGATTTCCCTTTAAACCAGTGCTAAGCCACCAGGGGTTAACAAATAGACACTCTCTGGGAGGCCACTGACTTTTAGACTTGCCCACTTTTCTGAATTGTTTTATGGCCTCCAAGATTCTCCTTTGCATTCTTTTGAGCTAGGCAGTGGATTTAAATGTCGTTAAATTGTTTTCCCTAGCATTTTCAAGTGCATTTGTAATGTGGTAGCTCCTCAGGTTAGCCTATCCATTCTATTTGCAGAAACAGAAGGTAGGATATTCTTATTCATCTTTGTATTTCCAGTGCTTAAAAGAGGTGCCTGGCTCATAGTTAACATTAAAAAAAATATGTGTAGTGAATCACTGAATAGTGCACAATTCTGGCTGAGGATAAAATCATACATTTTTGCACTTGAGTTATCTACATAAATGGATGCAACTTGGTATTTTCTTGAATTAGATATACATACAGTTACTATTTCAAATTTATGTTAGGCTGATCTTACCTAAGGTGGCAAGAGGTTTTTAGGAGTGGCAAAAATAAAAAAGAAAACAAAAAGATGAGCAAATATGTTTCTCCACAGCCAAGGAAGTAGTAGTGTTATTAACTGAAAAATACTTTATTTATTTCTAGTTTTAGAGTCAATATCAGACAATTGTAAGTTACATAATTTAAAATTACAGAATAATACTTAAATACTTACATTTAGCACTAGTTTACTCTTCGCAGTCACTGCCTCAAAAGTCTCATTGGTTTCCTCTTTCCACAAGCTAATAAAAGTATTAATTTCTTGGGATATTGAAGGATCAGGACTCCCATTACATTGAATGTAGTGTTTCCACTGTGGAATAAAAATGGTTGAAGGTTCACACTGATGAAAATTCAACCAAAGATGAAATTACTTCTTTTTTGAAGCTTATAACCTTGTTTTCCATATTAGGCAAAAAACATATTATGACTTTAGTTACTTGAGATATCTCTAAAATAACCAAATTCCTCTTCATCAAAATAATTTAAAAGCCTCAATATTTCAAATAAATAGAAATTCTATTTATTGTCATATTTTTATTTTTAAAAAAGTATTTATGAGTTGATTTAGTTTTGCTTTCCTCTCTAATCATATAGCTCCTGTAGGTACAAAAGCCAACACTTGAGCTAATTTCTACTTCTCAAATGACTACTAATTCTTAACTGCCACTGTCATTTTAGTATTAGTCCTTCCATTCATTTTGTAGTCTATGCAAATTCTACATTTGTAATCATATTGTACTTACAATTTTTTTGCTTTAAATTATACTATAATCTTTTGCCATATTATTACAGTTTTTCCTTTTTATCCTGATAATCATCTACATTGTTTCCGAAGTTACACTGTTTTGAGCAACACGAGATTGCCTTAGGCTCAAACTTTTTATATTTTAATTTAGGATAATTTCCTCAGTATAGATTCCCCCAAATTAAATCAGAGTAAAAGGATATAAAAATTTCAAGGATCTTATTACTGACAAATAGATTTCTACAGAGCTATATGAATTTACTTTGCTACAAGCAATATGAGAGAGATTTGTCAGATTAGAGATTTTTTTATAGACAAATTTAAAGTTTCTTGTTATTTAAACAGATATTGGATTATAACTCCCTCTTGTGGTACAAAAGTATTAGCTAAATAAATAAAATCAGTCTTACCTGAGAAAGCAATCTACTGTCTCGTTTCAATTTCTCTGCTTCAGGAAAACATGCCTCTAACAAATAAAGTTCTTCAAGCTCTTCATTTCTTCTTTCTAGATCCTGTTTCATAGGGATAGATACATTGACATCTTCTTTAATTTCAGCTTTGTGTTTCATAAGTAGCACCTAAAATTTACTTGACAAGTATTTAATTTCAAGATGAATACTACAATCAGTTTAAATGTAACTGATATTTCCAAAAGTTTTCACGTGGAACAGTGGTGTGCAAAGTGTGATCTGCAGACTCCTGGTGGGTCCCCCAAACTTTTTCAGGATCTGTGAGGTCAAATCTATTTTAATAATAATACTAAGACTTTATTTGCTTTTTTTGCAGTGTACACATTTGCAAGATGGTGTAAAACTGCTGGCGCCTTAGCGCAAATCAAGGCATAAGCTATACTAGCGGTCATATTCTTCGGGGGAGAGGGGTGATAGCAGTCAGTTTCACATAAGAATGATCTGATGAAGAAGTGAAATGTATTAATTTTATTAGATGTCAAACCTTAAGTATATGTCTTTTTAATATTCCGTGTGACAAAATGGGAAGTATGCATAGAGCACTTCTGCTACATAACAAAGGACAATGCTATCTTCAGAAATAAACATTTATGCAACTATTTGAGTATTCTGGCAGACATTCTGTCAAAAATAAATGAATTGAGCATGTCACTTTCAGGAAACAACCCAAAGTATTTGTTGCCAGTGATAAAATTCAAACTTTCAAATAAAAATTTGAATTTTAGAAAACCTATATCCACCACTAGGGAGCCTGACAGTTTCCCAATCCTTAAAAACTTTTCTGATTTGACTGGAGATGATACTAATGTATGTGGTTTTTTTTTGGGGGGGGGGATAATGAATGATAAACATGTGTCAACATTTGGAAGCAAATAATTCAGTGAACCAATTTTTTCCAAGCAATCAATGTATGATGTTGCAAAATCATGCGTGGAGAAGAATATCCACAATTATCTGAAAGGCTGTTACAACATTCCTCCTTTTTCCAACTACCTATCTGTGTGAGGCCAGATTTTCTTCACATATTTCAGTCAAAATAACACATTGTAACAGATGGAATGATGAAGTAGGTATGAGATCCAGTTGTCTTCTGTTAAGTCAGAGATTAAAGAGATTTATAAAATATAAACAATGCCACTTATTTCCCTAATTAAAAAAATATATATATAAGTGTGGTGATGGATGTTAACTAGACTTATTGTGGGATCATTTCACAATATATACAACTATCGAATCATTATTTTGTATACCTAAAACCAATATAATTTTAAATGTCAATTATACTTCAATAAATATATATATACTGTAATTGTTTTTTAAATATGTTAATGTATTTACTTTTTATTCATGTTTATGTTTAACAATGTTTAATCTCTATTAATATAATAGATGTTTTTAAGTTTCTGTTTTAATTTCTAATATAGTAAATATTGATAAACATAAACAAAAACTCCTTGGGGATCTTCACTTTTTAATAGTAATGAGGTTTTGTCCTGAGATTAAAATATCACAGAACTACTGATCCAATAATGAAAAATTCTGGTGAAAAAGAGAAGTGAAATTTTAAAAGGAGAGGTAGAATTTGAACATTTTTTGGTCCCTATTTAATTACCTATACGACAGATTGAGAATAATAACTTAATGGTTACAAGCACGGGCTCTGAAGCAAGACTACTTCTGTCTAAGTCCTGGCTCTGAAATTTATTAGCTGCTTAATCTCTCTATTCAACAATTTCCTGATCTGTGAAATGTGGGTAATAATTTACCCACCATAACTTTATGGTAGGATAAAATGAATTAAACCAGTTCATATAGGCCTAAATATTACTGGTAGCTATGGGGGAGAATGACGTTAAATGGCCAAACAGATCTGATAGCCACATAGTTTGTCTTCAGTAATAATAGCATTAATGTTTATTTACTTTTGCTTCAAGTTTTCGCAATTTTTCTTTCTCAGTTCGTTGTATTTCAAGTCTTTCCATTTCTTCTTTTTCGTATTTCACACGGGCTTCCTCTAAAGAACAACAACAAAAGAAATTTTCAGTCTGTTTTTTTCTTTCTTTTTTTTTTTGTCTGTTTTTAAGCACTTAAAATTATTTCAAATATTTAAGATGTAGTAATGGTGGAATATTTGATAGAAGTCACAACCTTTACTGTGTGGTAGAAATAAAACTGCTACATTTCTTTCAAAAAAGTAACATGACTCTTGGACTTCCCTGGTGGCGCAGTGGTTAAGAATCCGCCTGCCAATACAGGGGACACGGGTTCAAGCCCTGGTCCAGGAAGATTCCACATGACCCGGAGTAACTAAGCCCATGCACCACAACTACTGAGCCTGTGCTCTAGAGCCCGCAAGGCACAACTACTGAGCCTGAGTGCCACAACTGCTGAGCCCGCGTGCCACAACTACTGAAGCCTGTGTGCCTAGAGCCTGTGCTCTGCAACAAGAGAAGCCACTGCAATGAAAAGCCTGCGCACTGCCACAAAGAGTAGCCCCCGCTCTCTGCAACTAGAGAAAGCCTGTGCACAGCAACGAAGACCTAACTCAGCCAAAAATAAATAAAAATAAATTAAAAAAAGTAACATGACTCAAAATTTCTGGCTCACAATGATATTTCTCTTTTCCAAAAAGTTTATAGCAATCCAATAATGATTTTAATCAATGAAAAATGACGAATCTATCATGGGTAATTAAGAGGTAAAATCTTCAGAAGATTTCCATAATCTTGTGACATCTACATTATCAGAAGTAACATTTTTTTTTTTTTTTTTTT